GTGGTCTTAGGAAGGGTTCCTCTCACCGGCCATCTTTTGGACTTTGCATCGGTCAGTCAATCAGCAAACACTTCTCAGGGGCCTGCGACATGAACGCTGGGGTCCGCCAGGGCCTGGCCCCCTCTGGGATTGTTCCAGTTGCCCTTGGAGAAGTCCTCTCCCCAGGAGGCCATTCTGCCTGGTAACAGCACCCTCACCTGTTCCCACCTCCAGACTGAAGCGGTCGGGCCTGAAGGTGAGGTTCTGCACCAACGAGTCGCAGAAGTCCCGCGGGCGCCTGGTGGAGGAGCTTCGCAGCCTGGGCTTTGACATCTCGGAGGGTGAGGTGACTGCGCCGCCCCCGGCCGCCTGTCGGCTCCTGAAGGAGCGAAGCCTCCGGCCACACCTGCTGGTCCACGACGGTAGGCCTGCCTGCCCGGGGCGGGTGGGGTGCAGGCGCCCTTTTCAGGCTGAGGGCCGGGGACAGCATCCCTCTGCCCTGGGCCCAACCACTAGGGATGGATGGCACAGAGGTCACACCTGGCTCCTGCTGCAGGCACTCAGGCCTGCGGGGTGGACATCTGGGCCGCGTCCACCCCCGGCCTCATGCTGAGGTCCTTAGGGGCAGGTTCCCGAGGCTCCTCAGAGGCAAACCGAGCTGTTTGGTCTATAATAGGCCCAGGGGGCAGGGACTGTCAGGACTGAGTAGAATCCCAGCTTCAGGTGTGCGTGGTGCGGGGCGGGAGGGAGGAAGAGGCCGACTGAGGTCTGCAGGCTTCTAACGTCCGGCGCCCGTGGCCTGAACTTTATTTGTGAAAACCAGCCCTGCTCTGTGGCGAATGGCACGAAGCTTGCACCCTGATCCATCTGAATGCAGGAAAAGAGCTACCGTGACCCACAGTGGGGAGTCTCCTGAACCAATGGAGGGCAGTGCTGCCTGGTGCCCCCTGAGTATTAGAAGCAGACAATCCAGGACACATCTGTCCCCATCGAGCCCTCCCCTCTGCACTTAGCATTTTTATTTACTAACGGCTGGCAGAGGCAGGCAGGGTTTCTGCATCGTTGCAGCAGGAATGGGGCTCCCAGAGGGGGAGGGGCTCCCTGCAAGGCCCCATAGCTCTGGTGCCAGTCCAGGCAACATGCCCGGCCTTCAAACCATGCCTCTCAGTCCTTCCTCTGTGACCCGAGATCCCTGCCAGGGTCTTTAGAACAGCTCCTCAAAGAAAGAGAGACTTAGGAGAGAAAATGCCGCCCCAGAGCAAAGGATGGAGCCGGCAGAGAGGAGAGGAAAGTTCAGCGAGTGCCTAGAAGGGGGAAGACCGAGAGCCGCTGGACAAGCAGGTGGCCCTCGGAGGGCTGCGGGGAGCCAGGCGCCTTCCTCAGCTCTCGCCCTGCGTCCGCGTTTCCATAGATGTACCCGTGTTTTCAGACGGTGAATTTTTTTTCAAGTTTTACTGTTGATGAATTTTCCCCACCCCACCCCCAGCATTTTAATATGAAAAAACTTTAATGTACAGCAAAGCTGAAAGAATGTTACCTGGGATATTCGTACGCCCACCGCCTTGATTTTACCGACGACATTTGACTGTTTTCTTCATTACGCATCTGATGTCCCTCCATCCATCCGCCCCTCACATCTTTTTGATGCAAAGTGAGTTGAGACACAGATACTTTCCCCAAACACTCCAGCACATCGGTGATTAGCAGGCGCTCTGGATCGGTTTACAGTCTTTTGATCTAAAATTTATGCTCGATGAAACGCAAACATCTCAAGTGCGGAGTTTTTAACAAACGCTCACGTCTGTGTCCCCCAACCCCCAGCAAGACCTAGAACTTCACCCTCCCCCCGGAAAGTTCCCTCACGCCCTCCCCGGGCTTGCTGATCTGCTAGAAGGCGTCCGAGGGCTCAGAAAGCTGCCGCACCTGCGGTTACACTTCGCCACAGTGAAAGATCAGACTCGGCGAAGGAACGGGACGCGGGGGACAAGCTCCAAGAGACTCCTGGCGCGACCTTCCAGCGGTTTCGCTGGGACATGCTCAATCCCCTCTCCCGCAGTGATGCGCGACAGGACACGCGAAACGTCGTCACCCAGAGGAGCTCACCGGAGCCTCGTGCCCAGGACTTTAATTTAAGGTCGGCCAGGCGGGCGTGCGGTGTCCGCATGACTGACTGTGGCTACTCAGTCTCAGCGTCCCCGGAGGGCAAACAGAGGGCGCGGCCCCGGGCCCTAGGCCTGCGAAACCGCTCTCTCCAGGCCGAATGTCCTGAGGGCTCAGCTGACCCGTAGCTGGCCCCAGGAGTCTTTCTGTGGGATGTGNGGCGACCTGTCCCCAGGAGTCTTTCTGTGGGATGTGCAGGGCTTGAGCAGCCGCCGCTGGCCCACCCTTCCTCGCCCAGCGGCCTTGCGTGTAGGCTTCTTTCACCGACGTGCTGTCTGAGACTCGTCTGTAGGGTTGCAGGAACCGGGGGGTTTTGCCTTGTGAACGCAGAGCAGCGTCCATTGAGCAGACGCCCCCAGCTTGCTTAGCCCGCCCCCCAGGTTTAGGCTGTTAGGAACAGCTCGGAAGGACCGAACACCCCGCACAGTTCTTTCGGGTACGACCCAGGAATGAAGTCACTGGGTCCTTGGGTGGGGTGTGCTCAGTTTTATAAGCTGCCAGCCCTTCCTTAGGGGGTGGCATCAGTTTGCATTCCTGCCAGGCAGGAGACGGGAGGGGCCACGTCACCCCTCTCCCGTCTCTCTCCACAGAAGTCCGCTCAGAGTTCGATCAGATCGACACGTCCAACCCCAACTGCGTCGTGATCGCAGACGCAGCAGCAGGTTTTTCCTATGAGAACATGAACAAAGCCTTCCAGGTGCTCATGGGGCTGGAGGACCCAGTGCTCATATCGCTGGGACAGGGGTAAGTCGGTTCCAGGGACAGTTGCCTCTGGGTCTCTGACTTGCAGAACCAAGGAGAGAAGGTGCGGGAACGTGGGCGGGTGGGCGCCGGTGGCTTCCTTTTCCCTCCCTTTACTTGCTTTTCCTCTTGACGTCTTCCCTCCTTCCCTCTGTAGCCTTATAACCTTCTGCAAAGCGTAGGACCGGGCCTACCTCACTCGCGGTCCGGCCGTGGTCCAGGCACGGTCCCGAGGCACCGCTGACGTCCTGACGTCACTAGAAAACAGAACTAAGACGCTCTGTTACAGCTCATTCGTGTTAAATCTTTTTTCTTTAAAATTGTCTCTGATTATTAAAAGTTATTCCAGATCATGGGCAGTAGTCAAATAGATATGTTGTTGAAAAAGAGAAAAATGTGGGATCCGCTGCTCTTGCTTCGTGATTCTGTAGCAGACCCCAAAAAAGGCTTATTTGTCTTACAAACGAGCCGCTAGCGGGGTCTCCAGCTGCTGGGGTTCTGAGTGGAGTGAGGGGTTGGGCACTCGGAAACCAGAGAGAGGAACGGACGGCTTTCGGGCCTGGGTCACGGCTTCTTGGGATGGCCCGAGGACCCACGAGAGCTGTTCTCACGTCGAGTGGGGGCCGCTGGTGGTGAGGGGCTGTCCTCCCCGGACGCAGGGCCCAGTGGTGGCCTTGCTGGGGCAGAGCGTCCCGCTCCAGACCCCGACACGGGGTGATTTACATCGGGCATCTGTTTGCACCGGGAGCCGGAATTGCCTCTGTAATTTCCTCTGTCACTCGGCCGTCAGAAAATTAAGCTGTTTACGCGGCAGACTCTGGAAGGTTAATGGCTCTGGTGGGAAAGGTCAAGTGATCATTTTGAAGGGAGGCCACGCTGAGTAATCGAAAGAGCAGAGGAGCAAAGCATCTCCCGCTTTTTCCTGCCTTTCCAGCTCCCAGCTCCTTCTCTGTGGCTCGGGACGTGGCCAGGCCTGCCGTGGCGTTTATTACGCCAGTCACAGAAGATAAATCTACCAAATCTCTCGTGTGTGGGGAATAACCTGGGCTTTTAAAAATTAACTTAGGCTCTTGAATTTACTGTATCTCCAAGAATGTTTTCAGCTAACAGACGGCCTTCAAGGCGCCTTCCTGTTTTCCTGCATGAATGATAAATAAAGAAAAATCCTGAGCACTGTACAAACAAGCCCAGGTTCCGTTAAAAAAAGAACTATTAAGGTTTCTAAGTTTGATTTTGGACGTCACCTTTTTCTTTAGACTCTAAAAATTCATGTAACAAAGAAGGTGTTTTTTTTAATTTAAATTTTATTTTTTTAAATTTATCTTTATTGTTGAAAGTATTACAGATGTCCCCTTTCCCCCACCATTGGCCCCC